GAAACCAGATTTTATATCCTCACTAGAATTTTGCTTTTATTCTTGCTAGGGTCGTCTGCTCTTGTTTTCACCAAGATCCTTAAAGAAGTTCATGAAAACCATACACAGAAACAAAGCCAAGAGAATAAGCACCTGCATCCTCAAAATGTGTTCCTTATTGTTGGAGTGTTAATGACCTCTCTTGGATGGTAAATATAGGTTTATGTTTAAAAGCTGTTTTACACTCTTGAAGGAAATATAGACAATGTCAGTGTTAAGTATTGTTGGTGCAACCTGAATGACTGCCCAAGTCATGGTAGAGGGTTAGTACCTGCCTAGCATCTCATAGCCATCTAAGGGATCTTTAGGTGGGGAGGGGGCGGGGAGGAGGTTGGCAATATACTCCTAACAAACTGAGTTAAGCACCATATCAGTGGCTGACAAATCAGACCGGTGCATAGAATGAAGACTACATCATTGGGCTGATGCATTGTTGTGGAGACAGTTAATTTTTTATTTTTATTTGAACACAGATCCATCATCTCTTGCATAAGCAAATTTTGCTTCCAAGTTGCAGAACTTGTTTCTTAATTTTTCAGGAACATTATTTTTCTGCATAATAAAATACTTTCTGGGTAACTAGGTTTCCCTGTTTATGAGGCTCTTTGCCCTTACCTGTCCTCCACTCTTTAAGTAGCTGTAGTATCATTTATTACTACTAATTAATAGGCCCTTTGCAACTAAGCCATCAAGTGACGTACATTTCATAAAATTATGGGCTTACACATATCTTAACGAATGCCAGAAATGGAAAAAGCACATTGAAAATACGAAAGTGGCCAAGTTTGAGGCCAGGTGAGCCATTAAAGAATGAGATTTTATGATGGTCTGAATTTTTTTTAAAGAGAAAAAGGTTTGTTTGGAAAAAGTTGTTGGAGAGCAAGGCCTTGCTCTCCAGCAACAATTTCCAAACAAGTCCGCTAAATTTTTCAAAAGTTCAAACTGTTGTATAAACTTACATTGTACTCTTTGGTATTTTTGATATGCTCTTTCGATTTCTGGCATTCTTTAAGTTATAGCCCATAGTATAGCTTAGGAAAAATTTGGTCACGTGACCCCAGCTGCAAAGGGCTTATTTTGTTGCAAGTGAGCTCTCATTTCATGTTATTCTTTGTTACCATAGGTACTCTGTAAATATTGGATCTGTACACAAGTTCAATGATGCTGTGATTCTTTCATTGATTAACTCTCACCTCGCTGTCTGTGCATCTTTACTGAGCTGGTTAATAGTGACTTATTTTACAAGGAAGAACTTTAACATGACAGAACTTCTACAAGGCATCATGGTTGGTCTTGTAGGTATGCCTGTTGTCATTACTACTCATTGACTTATGATATAAAGTGTTGGTGGTGGTCTTCCTAGACATTTTCCTGTTTGAAACAGTCTCAATATTAATATTTTGGCCCAATCTAGATGTTAAATTATATTCTAATATTTAATTTAAGTTAATGGTAACTGTTTGTGTTTTGACAATATACAGTGGGTTGAATTTTGCTCATGAAGCTAAATGGGGCACAATTCATAGAAATAAATGTCCATTAAATATTAATTAAAAACTGGATTATTGGATAATGAAGTTCAAGAGTTTTCATTGGCTTAGCCTTCAGGGTATATGAGCCATTACACCATGCTCTACAAATAATTATGGTAAGTGCACACATAATTTTTGGGGGGGTGTTTATATTTTTATTTTACTTTAGTTTTCTATATTTTGGGGGCATTTTTAATAAAACAATATTATTCCACTTGTGCTTGTTGAATAAGAGGTGATTATAGCCAACTCAGTGCTACATGCATCATTGGCTGTCTCTTATCTCACATCCAGCGTGCGCTCATGGAATAATTGTTAATTATATTAAGGGGAAATACAACTCACCTTTTTGTTTTCTTCCCTTGTACATCAGGTGTAAGTGCATCTTCTGGTTCAATAGAGGTGTGGGCCTCATTGATCATTGGACTTGTTGTGGGTCTTATATCATCTGTTGTCTCATGGTCAATTCAGAAATACCAACCTTTATGGACCAGCACAGAGGTGCATGACATCACATACACCCATGGTGTTCCTGGTGTTCTTGGAGCAGTGGCAGGTAAATCCTCTCAAGCCCTGATCACACTAATGCGTTTTTAAAATTATCCATTTTCGTCTCAGTGAAAACGAGGCAAATACTTCTGACCACACTAGCGTTTTCGTTTTGTTTTCACTTGCCCATACTAATTCGTTTCCATTTGGAAACGCATACTTTCTGACACGTTTTCGCCCATCATTCGCACTGAAACGCCTAAAAATGCTGATGGAAACAAGAGTATATAACGCTTTCGTCACTGTTTTCAAAAGTCTCCGATGCGTTTTGAAAAAACGCCACTTTTCAAACCGTTTTCGTCAACGTTTTCGATCGTTTTAGTGTGGAAGATCAGACAGGCAAAAACGCATCAGAAAGTATGTGTTTTCATACGAAAACGCATTAGTGCGGTCGGAGCCTTAAACTTNAAATGAAAGCTTCGTTAAAATTATCTTTAGGCTCAGCTGAATATGTAAAAGAAAACAAAAAGCGTCACAATGCCTTTGCATCTCACGATAGCAGAATCAAAGCTACAAAAATTGGCACAATCTAGCACACCTTTCATGCAACATGGATGGAAATGTTTTGTCGGTCAAGGTGGACGAAACATTATCAAGCTACATGACGGAGTATCCTGTCATCAACAAACTTTGTTGGTTGTGTACAACTTTCTTTTGCTGTTTTTTTAGGTTGGCTTTCACTCAGTCACTGCAAACGAAGCTTGTGGCTCCTATGAGACCCAGAATATTTCACCATCATCCGCTTTGAGCAAAGAAAAGGAGTCTCTTCACAAAAAGCTATTCAAGGCCGTGGGTGCGGGGGATTTACAAGAACTAGACGCCTTGCTCGCGAATCAAGTGTCGTTTGGAGTGCAGAACTTTGACAAACGAACGCCACTGTGAGTGGAATGAAGAGTTGTCTTTTTGCTTTGCTTTGAATAATATCCCGTTAACTAATAGACTTAAAATATTTCCCGTCTCTAATGCCATTTTAATGCCTAATACTTCCCTTTTTTTGCTGCACTCACATGAAGAAAGATGTTACAATTTTCTTAGTGTTTCTATTTTCATATTTTCTCTCTCAATAATAATATTCTTTTTAGATTACACACTCTCGTTAACTGGTGCGCGGTTTCCAACTTTTGGGTTGACTTTTGGGTTGAAAATGCCAAGGCAATCATTAGTACACTGAGAGCAGTCTATCCTTTCCCTTATGTTTAGTTAGTCCAGCGAGAGGTGACAGAAAGAGACAGAGGGAAAATGGCCGCACGAAAAATAGAGACGAGAAGTGTCTCACCCGGGGTTATCCTCGCTCTCCAGGCATTTAGTTTTTACATTCCCCTAGGCGAATGAAAGGAAAAGGCGAATTGCTCGTAGTCTAAACAGTAGTTCTTTCGGCTCTGTGTGGGCGGCAACAAAAGTTAAGCTCTCCTCTTGCCCGCAGTCATGGATGCCTTACAATAATGACTTCCGATTGGTTTGTTTCTTAGTCACGTAGCCTCTTTGCATGGACATCTACATTGCGTTAAGTTCCTTCTGCGACAACCTGGTGTAGACATTCACGCGAGAGACCGCTGGAGAGCATCGCCGCTTTCTGGTAAGCATAGGTGCTATTCAAAGTCAATTTGAATTGGTATTAAATGCCCTAGGGATGAATTAATGATCTGCAACAAGAGAANTCAAGCGCGGGAAAACGAGTCGGAGCTAAGTCTCTTCATCCTGATTGGTAGAGAAAACAGCACATTTTCGCTGATTGATGAGAGCTTGCTGAACGATTTTCTTCGCCAATCATAGAGCTTAGTAGTCGCAAAATCGAAGGAACACGTAACTACTTTAGATAGTCATTAAATAACTGCGTTAATTTCGTTATCTTTTTTTTATTATTTTTAAGTGAAAAACGACGCGGAGGAGCTTCAACGTCTTGTATCACTGGGTGTGGATGTTGATGCACCAAACTCTGACGGCAGTACCGCGCTTCATGTTGCAGCCACTGTAGGCAGTCGAGGAGTGGTGCAGTACCTTACTGATCACAGAGCGGATATCAATGCTGTAGACTCGTTAGGAAATACGCCTTTGAATGTAAGTACGTTAGGTATAATGACAATTTGGGCATAACCGTTTACTTTTAAATTAACACGAACTAACACAGAGGGAACTCTATGACACTCCGATAGTCCAAGGGAGCTGGAGTACAGTCAGCTCGTTCTTACCCTTCCCAAAGACGAGAACTATCCGCCTTGGACGGTGGCAGAGTACGGACGGATCGCTGCGGAAGGGTAGAGGACTGCTCCTCTGTTCCGGTGCACCTGCGATCCGATCACGGGCGCACAGAACGCCCACGGTTAGAGACTGAGCCTACCTAGTCCCAGTGAGGGAAGTGCCCTAAGGAGCCCCCTGGGGACGGATTTGCTTTAAAAGTTTGCGACTGGAATTGTAATAAGTGCGGTTTGATTTTCCAGTACTCGGACATGCATGAGCATCGCGCGGTCAGCCAGTTATTGGAGGGTCTCGGCGCCAGGAGGTTATCGCATCATTACAGCATGCACGAAATCTGTGAAGTGGCCAGTACAGGAAACCTACAGATGCTCCGACACATGGTGCATAATGGCGCCACAGTCTGCTACAGAGATTTTAACAAACGAACGCCATTGTAAGTGTTTGAAGAGTTTTTGCTCTTTGTGTGTGACTTAGTGTCAGGGAGGAGTTCGAG